ATCATATTACTAATAATGGGCATAGTATGGTTGCCTGTACTTTTACAAGCTATCTACTAATATGGCATTTTTTGATTGGTATAGATGTTCTTAAATTTAGAGATAGCTTGAAATACAACATAAGTGTCTGTACATCTATCAGTACTATCATAACTAATCACAATGTCATCTATTAACATGTGATTATACTCAATTGCATTGCATTTTCACACGACAAAAGGATAGCATTCCAGAAGTATTTGCTGTTCATTTTCCTCAATGTTTCTAGAATTATTTACAGTATTGCAGCAGCAGCTCAACTGAACCCTGAAGGCTATGCTACACGTTAAAATTATAATGTAATTGGATGCCATGTTTCCAATTTATCGTCGACAGTAAATTACTTAACATGAAACACAACGACTTCAAGTCCTTCTTATAATTATATTTAAGAAAGGATTACCATGAAAAAATTATTTATTTATTTGTTTAAAATATCTCCTCAAATGACATAATTTATGAACTATATCCAGAGGCTTGTTAGTAGCATATTTACTGGTGGTAATGGTCTTGCAACCGAACAATATCCAGAGGCTTGTTAGTAACATATTTACTGGTGCTAATGGGCTTGCAGCCGAACTATATCCGAAAGCTTGTTAATAACATATTTATTGGTGGTAATGGTCTTGCAGTTGGGCTACATCCAAAGGCTTGTTAGTAACATATCTAATGGTGGTAATGGTTTTGCAGCCAAACTATATCCAGAAGCTTGTTAGTAACATATTTAGTGGTGATAATGGTCTTGCAGTTGGGCTATATCCAGAGGCGTGTTAGTAGCATATTTACAGGTGGTAATGGTCTTGCAGTTGCGCTATATCCAGAAGTTTGTTAGTAACATATTTACTGGTGGTAATGGTCTTGCTACCGAACTATATCCAGAGGCTTGTTAGTAACATATTTACTGGTGGTAATGGGCTTGCAGCCGAACTATATCCGAAAGCTTGTTAATAACATATTTATTGGTGGTAATGGTAGTCTATCTTATCTGTTGAAACCATGTTACGTCTATCTTATCTGTTGAAACCATGTTACGTCTATCTTATCTGTTGAAACCATGTTACGTCTATCTTATCTGTTGAAACCATGTTACGTCTATCTTATCTGTTGAAACCATG